AGTCATGGCTCTCGGCAGGGATAGATCGAGAAGTGAGCGAGCGACGGTATGTGTTTGCTCACTTCCCGATCTACTGAGCCGACCTGTGACAGTTTCATTGTCACAGGTCGGCTCAGATTATGAGGCTGAGTGAAAATCACTTGCCTCATAATTCTCCTTTAAACAGAGTGAAAATGCCAATTTACTAAATCAGCATCTTAGCCCTTAGTGGCAACATTTTGGGGAGTTTGTAGACCATAAGCTGCTGCTTCTGCTTTTATGAAGTTTCTAGCACTGCATGCTATGGTCACATAATGCATGAAAGATGGAAAATTGTAAATAGTGTTTCTAAGTGACAAAGACCTCAAATTATCCAGCCTGCTGCAAAGGTTTTATTCATAAGAGGGTAAAATTGTGGGCAATCATAGCTATCAACCAAGGAACAAAAATGTATTTCTTATAACAGGGTTTCTTGTGAAATAAAAGATATCTTTAAAACAAAATATTATAACCATTCCATTTGGAAAGAACATTTGACTGCTGCTAAAGGGTGTTCCACCATTTGGAGAATAAGCTGAAACCATGTCTTATTAAAGAACAATCTGCCCGTGTATGGCCAGCATTTCAGACTCTAGTGAAGGGAAAATGTTTCAGAGTGAGCAATAACTTGCTAGCCGCCTCATTGCATGTTCCAAACCTTTTTGTAAATAAAAAGTACAATGGATTCCCAGTGTCATAAAGGGCAGTGTGGAGTCTGTCTAATGACTGGAGTCTCGTTATCTTTTGAAGCTGCAAGTCTGCTTTCTTTTTGCCTGTATGTAAACTTTTTGTAGCCTATCTAATCTAAGATTAACCCTTATAATGATATAGCCATGTTGTAGCTCTTTGAATTTTGTTGCAAGGAAAGGGGAAAACCTTAGAACTCCCACAGAACCTCAAGCTGTGTGCATACATATATGTATGAGAAGCTAATTAGCCAAGTGGTGATTAAATAAACAGCTTTCACTTTTTATGCAGAACAGTATAACCCTTCGCTCTTTGTAAAAGCTTGATAGCACAAGACGACAACATTCAGGCACTACAGAGTCTTGTCCGGACAGAGAGAAAAAGTTCACAGGAGACTCATTCCCTCCTGTGAAGTTTCAATGACCTAAAGATATGTCATGAGTTCAGTTTTCTAATTAGGCCTTCATTGTCCTACTGACTAAATAGAGACTGATTTACCCAATGGGGTTGTTTTATTAAAGAGGAAAATATTCACTTAGTTCAGTGACATGTTCACTTTAAATACCCAATCGTCTACAGGGGAATGTAAAAATAATAGGGGTTTCCATTGGAGATTATTAGATAATTGGACAAAGCTTTGCTGTGAACATGATCCTTTAGTAAACATATTCAATTCAAAACTTTTCATCCTAGCTTCTTCAAATAATGTTAGATTAGGTTTGGTATCAGAGGTAAGCCCAAATTATGTGAAATGTACATATTGATCCCAATCAATCAATATTTTTCCCAATGTTACCATTGGTAACGGTTGCAGACAATATTAGAAGAAATATATTGTATGAAGTAGATCTGGTTTGTTATCAGTTTTTAACACATCCCCCTGTGTTTTCTTATATAATATGAATACCTCTAGGGTAAGATACATTATAAACAGAATACATATAATATAAGATCACAGAACATCATTGTAAAAAATGTATAGACCTATTTTGAAGAAAGAAAAGAATGCAAAAAGAAGGGGAGAAAGAGTGATACATGTATTATTTGACATGCAACCTGTTGCCTAGTGCTGAAATCAAGCAGCAGGATAACTCAGCTGAAGGTCTTGTTATAGGAAAGATCAGATCCTTGAATGAGCACTCTTTGGTCTTATCTGCACAGCCACTATGTGTCTGAAAGTTGCCACATAGGCTACAAGTCAGGGGAGAACAGTCTCACCTATCCAGGCCTTCATACCTGGAAATGTGTTGTGCTAGTGTAGTGCCATACGCTATCCACTTTTCAAAACAATGTTCAATTCTGCCTTAGTGGTAGAAAAATACTTTAAGTACATGGCCAGCAGACCTTTGTGAGATCCAAGAGTATTGCAGACCACAGGACTAATACATGTTGCATTGAGCATTGCTAGCAACAATTAGGTAGCATGATAGTTAGCTTAGTCTAAAAGGCCTTCAAGCTTTGTGGAAAATTTCTTAGGGTACAGTCATGTCATTGCCACAGTGACCACAGTATGCCCAACTCAAGCATCACTTCTGAGGTTCGGAATGGATCATTTGTATGCAGCTGAGCAGTTATTATTCTTATTGTTATATGTGGGCCCTGCTCATCCAGGTAGGGGAGAACAGTATGGTAAGCCCCAGTGATCCAACAGTGTTATTGAGATTGAGCTCATGCACCACCATCCATTGCCACAAATGCTAGCTGACATTGGTGTATTCTGTCTAGGACTATAAAGATCTTGTAGCAGTCTGTGAAATCTGCTTTTAGCTATCCATAGATATCCGAGGGTGGCTGAATGTAAAGACAATTTATCTGTCAATAAGAGTCTTTTAGCTCATCCTTGAACAGGAACACTCAGGTCACACAAGTGTTCCTGTTTGTGTGTTTGCAATACAGAGGAATGTGATAGCTTTTCTAAGAGGGAAACAATAAAAAACACTTCCCAATCAATTTCTGTCACAGTGAAATGTTTTACTCTACCTATAGATATAAGATTATTGCTTCACTGACCAAAATGTAATGGATTATGTGACCATCATCTCCTGTCTATGGAAACATTATCTGTGGATGTTTGTGTAGTAGGTAAACATTATGGGGGTTATTCACAAAGCTAGCCGAAGGATCAGCCATACTCCGGCTGATCCTTCGGCTAGCTTCGGCCACCTGAGCCCTTCGGTTCAGTAGAATCGAAGGACTGCTGTACGAGCCAAAAGGCTGCTACTGACAGGTAGGCGGTGCCAGCAGTCATCTAACCAGGAGTAACCAGGTAACCAGGAGACACTGAACTGTCATTACAATGAGAGCTCAGCGGAGCCGACCCTGATATCACAGCCGGCTCCGCCGAGCTCTCATTGTAATGACAGATCAGCGTCCTCTGGTTACCTGGTAACCAGTGGACGCTGATCTGTCATTACACACGGAGAACTTGCCGTAGCCGGCCGTGATATCAGGGTCGGCTCCACTGAGCTCTCATTGTTATTAATTGGCCGGGACCTACTCGGTACCACGGAGGTGCCGAGCCGAATGCCGCTTGGCGGCATTCGGCTAGTAACTCACTACTGTTCGGCCCCTATGAGAATAGGCCGAACAGCAGGGAGTGGTCTGCCGGAGGTTCAGCTCAGCCGATCCAGATGTTGAATCGGCTGAGTCGAACTCCATCTGCACTTCGGGTCGGCCGAATATGCAGAGCATGTTCGGCCGACCCGAAGCCAGCCAGTGTACGGCTGATTTCAGCCGATGTAAGGCTGCAATCAGCTGTACAAACCTGAAGTGAATAGCTGAACAGCGTTCGGCTCACTTTACTTCGGGTCGGTTATTCACGCGGCTGCCTTCGCCAGCTTTGTGAATAACCCTGTATGTCTTGTCCTAAATGAAAACTAAGTTGTCCCATGTAGCTATCCAAAATATAGTATTACTGGAATACTAGCCTGAGTTTTCTTTTCACTGCAGATATCCTGGCCAGCAGCTGAATAACGTGGTCTTCTCTGTCACTACCCCATTTTATTAGAGTGGCTTGTAATCACTTCACTATAGTATTTCTGGCTGTAAAAGGAAAGTCCTACAATAATATTTAGTCAAATATGGCAGTAAAAAACAAAAACACCACAGTACAGGCAATATTTATTTTAACACATCTGGGACTTCCAATGCTCAGGAAGTAAGTTAAAGAACAGATATAAACTGTGTAATTGTTGTCAGATGGCAGTGCCCCTCATTTAGTAAACGCATTATCTATTACCTGGCTTCAGCACAGGAAGGAAATGCATTGCTAATAGGACACTTTTATCACAGGGGCCTTGTCGGTTACCATGTTAATTATATCCGTGTATTTTTTTGTGCTGCTTTTGATGTGTACACTCAGGATACTACCTGTATTATAGACCTGGAACTACTTGTTACATGCCTGAGCATGCAAGTTTATGTAATTCTAAGTAAGGGAGGAGGAATACAGCCACACCTCTCAATATGGGGGTTTAAGCACCAGCAAAAACTAGCACTGCCCTTACCACTCATGGGCAAAAAGCAAATGCAACTGAGCATGACACATTTTTAGTTAAGTTAATTGGTCTTTATTTATCATCATAGTGTCAGAAAAATATTTCCCACATGGCAACCATTCAAAATAATTATTTCTCCTACAGTCATTTTAGAGAAATTGTATGAATCTGCCTGGTGGTTAACTGGCAATAGAGGCAGTTCTTATTTTAGGCATTTTGGTAAATTGACTATCATACTGTAGATTGTTTTGGAATTAGTCTGCAAAGTCTTATAAAGTAAAAGTTCACCAGAGAAACAAATCTAAGGTGGTTACATGTGATCTCCTTAGTGTCTGTATGGAGATATTAGTAGTACATGCATGACACAAACTTGAAAGATTCAGATCTTTTATTAAAATTATTATGCAGTGTGCATTCCTTTGCAGTGGCATCTCCTTTGTGACTGTTTCTCTTAAAAGCTAATTGTCATAGATGGCAACAAAATGAGTATGCTTCTGTTCTTATGTAGAAAATAATGTACTGTGCATGAATGGACTGGACACTGGCCATAAGAGGGTTAAATGAGTCCAATCCGCTGCCTTCAAAGAGCAAAGCAGTACGCACCGCAATACAGCCTAGAATCACGCAAGATTCTTGCTTATTGAAACAGGTGCACATTGGAACTGGAGCCACTTCACTTCTAATACCAGACCTATTTCAAAAGGAAGATCTAAACTTTAGAAGGGGATTTATATTTTGTGCTTTATTGTGAGTGGCTATAAAAATGAAATAATGACACCTTTCGTTATATTATTTCAGATATCCAGAAGAAGGCAAGACTCATACCATGAAAAGTCTAGAGAGCACCCAGACGATTGTGAGTTCAAAGCATCTCAGTTAAATCTTTCCTTTTGTGTTTCCCAACCAAATAGGTTGAAGTCACATAACTTCTGTATGTAATGCACTAATTCCAAGAATTGGTATTCCATAGGGTAGCTCTCTCTTGTCTCTCTCTCTCTCTCTTTCTCTCTCTCTCTCTCTCTCTATATATATATATATATATATATATAATTTGGTTCAGAGAGTCCTACATTTTATGTCCTTAAAGTATATTTCCACCTTTGCAGCCAAATTGGGATAACATCGACTTTATATTTATTAAATGTCCCCATTCACATAGCATAACTTTAAAAAAAAAACTTGTCTGTACTGTGCTGACAGATTTCATTATCACTTTGAATTGTATGTTAATGTGTTTTAGAACAAACTATCCCTCAGTCTGTCCTCTTATCTGCACACTGCCATACATTCTGACCACTAGAAGCTACTTATGGTGTCTTATGTATAATGCTGCTCCAAACACAAAGCTTGAAAGGTTAAAAATCTTTGAAAAAAAAATGTTCAAGTATGCTGCGTGAATTGGCACAGGAATAGTGGGAGTTTCTCAATTTTGGCTGCAAAAGTGGAAATGCGCTTTATTACCCTGATATCGATGTAATAAACACACCTATTAAAGCAGTGAGACAAAATAGTTGTCTCACATCAAACATTACAGTACATTGTAATTGTCACAAACCCTCCTAAAGAAACAAAAATACATCTGTACACTATACATACATAAACCATACGTAGTTTTACTGATGGGATTCCATATAAAACCAAGTGTCTGAAGAAATATTTTGGCCAGAAACAGTGGTTTGAGTCAGAGGGGTTTTCTGCTGTAAAGGTCAATGTATTGTGTATTAAATCATAGAGAAGCAATTTGATACTTTTCTGCTATTAAATAAACCTCCAATCGTTATTACTTATTATAAAACAAATATTTTCCATATTTACTCATTTTCATATCATTATTTTACTACCATTTTCCTTCTGTTCGAAACAGAACCTAAAAGATTAGTCATAGTGGGAGTTCCATGCTGAAATCTGAGTATATGGTTAGGTTTCTTCCCGCAAGTACAGGCTTTTGGAACATTCTGTACCAGGAGCATACAGTTCTGAGGCTCAAGTCCAGAAGTTTTTATTTTCCATTTCAGCTGTAACTATAAGTATAGAACGTTACGGAAGGGTAGCATGGTTTTAGGATCAAATTTTTAGATTATTAGCTTTGAAGTTACAATTCTCCCGGAACTGAGGAGACACCATTGTTGCAATGTGTTCACACTTGTAAATCAGTAGTTTCTACAAATATTTCTACAATATTAGAACAACCTCTTATGGTACTTTAACTGGATTTTCAGGATCAGATACACCTTGCATTTGCTTTACTAAAAGAGCAGAGAATGTTCGCTTATCATATGGAAAAGGTTAAAGCTTTGTGTTAAAAAAAGGATATACATGATTTATGCCCTGTATATGATTGGATGATTAAAGTGACATGGCTTTATTTTTATTCATGATTAGTGAACAGTCTCTAAGAGACTGTTTTGGTACCATAAAAGCTGATTCTATGGAGTTCAGTTTCTGAAGGCAAATAGGCTGTTCACTTTGCAAGATAGGTGTAGTGAATAGGTTGAAGCTCTGCTAACAAACCATAATCTGATCACGTTCAAGTGAAAATCTTGCTTTGTTTATATTTTCCTTGCATGTGATTGAGTATTCTTTGCAAAGTAAATTTCACCACATTCCCTAAGCTAAGGGGAAATTTCCTTAACTTAAGGGAATAAGCTAAGTACAATGTACATCACACAGCTCTAATAAAGAAAACATGATATACAGCAAAAATAAGCACGCAAGTTTTAGAAAACATACATGTCCAAGCCATTCATTTTATAAGAACTATAGTATAGTCCAATCAAACGCAAAGCTACCAAAGTACCCCTTTCCCAGCTGTGGAGGAACTGTCAAGCGAAAGCATTAGGTTACACTAGTATAACAGCCTTAGTTTAATCGCTCTCAACTGGCATGAATAGAATCAATTGTTCACGTGACTAGTATCACTGAAGAGGGAAGCTGGAGTAATATAATCTAACACTGAGATGCTAGGCTGTCCCATGTAGTGGTAACATTACACAGCGGTTTCTACAAAGCCCAGTGCTAGGGTAAATAAATAGATGCTTTACAATGACCAACTAAATGAATAATGCTATATGAATATAAAGATGACTGTGGTTTTACTGATGGCTGACACATTATAAATACAATAGACTTGTAAACTTGAGCATTGTCTCACACCCAAGAAATAAGCAGAATGATTACACCTTCCATTTCATCCAAGTATTTTTAAGAACCTGGAAATTCAGTCTAGACAATTTTTTTTGGAGATTTACCAATACCAATTTACCAATTCAGTTCAACAGTACACTGAACTGTGAGTGGCTATGGTTTGATTAACTTTGCTCTTTGCCCCACTTTATTAATAAATCTTAAACTGGGGTGAACACATATGGAATTTAGGAGTCTGTCTGCCCAGGATTTTTCTAAGGAGCCAACTCCATTGACAACTAGAAAAACCCTCAAAAGTTAGGTGCCGGCTGTAATTTTTAAGGATCATTGGTGACCAGGCTCCTGGGATTTGTCCAGGCTTAGCTTAAAGTGACACTAAACTCAGGAGTTGAATCTTACATATGCATTCAAATACCCCATTGTTCCTGTGTGTGTTGTAAAGTAGCCACCGCTCCAAGCTCGATCCTGTGATGGACTACAATCTCAGTACAAATTAGTAAACTAAACGTGAGATTGTAGTCCATCACGAGAGCGAGCTTGGAGCCGTGGCTACTTTACAACACACACAGGGACCATTGGGAACAAAAGCAGCCACCCTCCAAAAGGAAGGACAGTGTCAGCTCCAATCTTAGGGTTGTTAGTACCAAATGCGGTGCGTTCCAGAGTGGTAGCTGCTGGAACGCACTGCAATCCCTCACAAAACTTCCCCCTGCGTTCTGGGGCGGTAGGGTTGTTTTGTGAGGGATTGCGGTGCGTTCCAGCAACTACAGCTGAGTGCTACACAAATAAGATACATTTTTGTTACTACTTAAGGTACTTGAATGCATTTGTAAGTTTTAACTCCTGAGATTAGTGTCACTTTATGCAGGGCATAGGCTAAACAGTGTGGGTAGGAGAATTCACCTTAAAGGCTGTTGTATTCTGACAGTGGCCAGTGTGCCGCTGTCAGAATACCCAAATAGTGTTTGCAGCTGATTGGCTACAGTCACTGTTAGGCCGAGAATATTCAAACTGGCTCCATGGACAAAAGTCCAAAAGAATGACATTTGTGGAAAGGAGGGATGTCAAATGTGCCACGCACTGCCTGAGCAATGTAGGGCCAGCTTTACATAGCACATGGGGTAATAAAAAATAAGAGTCCCAAAAGTTAAAAGAAAAAGTTTTGGCAACTGGCAAGGGTCTATAATGTATGTCAATGTGATATCTGTTGTGTTTTAGGTTTTAGGAGGAACAAAAACAACAGCATATCTTCAGAAACTGTCAGCCTTTTGATATATCATGCATACCGAGAAAGATTTAACCTAATCCCTGCCCTCTTTGTCCTGTATTTGATTAGTGTTGCCGTCAATTGCAAGAAAGCCCACAGCTGCCTTCTGCCCAGGAGGTAGTCTGCAGGACTCCATTCTAGTCTATTACTTTTTACAGCTCACAATTTCACTTTCCTACTACTACAATTGAATAGTAATAACAGAGGCTGGCTCATGCAAAGGATTATGGTAGATGTAGTTTAGCAGCAAGGGAAGACACAAAGGAAAAAAGGTTTATTAACTGCTGTTTTAACTTTCAATATTGACTGATTGCTTTAGTTCATGGTCACCCAAAAGTTATTATTAATAATACTATGCAAACTTTAACGAATTACTACCTTCAAGATGTTAGCTTTCGTCCATAAGGAAAATAAATCCTCATACTCATAGCAATGGTCGCTCTCTACTAGTCAATTAAATGAAAAGAGCTAACACTTCCTATAATACTTTCATCTTTCAAAAGTTGGGAAACTTTATCCACCAATTTTATGTCTCCCAAAACAGTTACTTTCAGGGCATGCCAACTGCCAGGGGCGTCCCCAGGCGTGGTGTCACCCGGAGCGCCCGCCGGGTGACACCCTGCTGCAACGCCATTGCTCAAGGGTGTAGTGACGTTACACACGCTTACCTGCCGGGGGCCATCTTGGTGATGGGCGCCAGCAAAGAGAGGAGTGCAACTGTCGGGCTCTCGGCCCATGACTAAGGGGTCTATTCAGGAAGCAGCCGAAGGATCTAGCCGTAGCTTGGGCTGATCCTTCGGCTAGCTTCGGCCCCTAATTTAGCTTTTGGATGGCAGCAGAACTGCCCGGCCAATAGAAAACAGTTGGGCGGAGCTAGCTGTCACTTCTAGCTCCGCACAATAGTTTTCTATTTATTTTTTTCAGACTATTTTCTGTTCTGCTCGGTCCCACAGAGGGACCGAGCAGAACAGCCGAGCCAAATGCCGCTCAGCGGCATTCGGCTATTCACTCACTGCTGCTCGGCATCTATAAGCATAGACCGAACAGCAGCGAGTAGCCTGCCGGAGGTTCGGCTTAGCCGATCCAGATGTTGGATCGGCTGAGTCGAACTCCTTCTGCACTTCGGGTCGGCCGAACATGCTGAGCATGTTCGGCCGACCCGAAGCTACCCGATGTACGGCTGATTTCAGACGATATACGGCTGAAATCAGTCGTACCAGCCTGAAGTGAATAGCCTACAGCGTTCGGTTCACTTCGCTTCCGGTCGGTCGTTCACTAAGCAGGCAAACTTGTAGGACCTTGGTGATGAGAAAAGTCTATGAGGTGTGGCAGGATTTTTCACTTGAAAGCCTGTAGTTCTTCAAGTTTTTTTTCCAATCAGGTGCTATTGCATACACTCTAGTAAAATAATCTAGGAATATAAAACCTTAAACATTAAAATAATATATAAGTTTTATATGAATACATGGATGTGGCTTACCTAGCTGTGCTTCACAGGAAACTGTTACTCTAAGCCAATTTTTCACATCCTTTGAAAGAACATGCTGTAATGTGTTGTATGCCCTGCTGGCAAAATTAAAAGAAAAGCTTTTTCATAAGATGACTTTTTTCTCTTTCTGTTTTTTTCTTTGGGGGGTGGAATAGCTGGAAAACATCCGGACGGTGGTTTATACAGCAAAGGCCATTCGTATGCTGGATACCCAAGCTACATCATGATGCCAAATATGAATAATGACCCATACATGTCAAATGGATCTTTGTCTCCACCCATTCCTAGAACAGTAAGTGCACTGTGTCTTGTTGCAGTTGGTTTCTTCTCAGATTCAGTCCAGGTCACATTTCTGTGTAACATTTATGAGCTTTCAAATTCTGCTTGGCAGTACAAAGCATAAAATGGTTTCTTTCTGTGTGGACTGTGCCGTTATTGTCTCTGCTAGTTTCCAAAGAATTGGAATACCGTCTCACACTGTTTGTTGCCAGTTTTTTTCTAAAATAACGGGTACAGGTATATTTCACATGTGTTTATTTCCTTGGAAATGGTATGGTTGGGTGGAATGCATCTCTCTTTCTATGGTAAACTCCAGGAAAACACTAAAAATAAAGGTGCAATACATATTTGGGTGCTGTTGTACTTGCCAAAGATTCGTAATTCTATGCAGGCAGACTTACAGACAGCAGAGCCAGATCCCCAACCTCCCCTGTAGCACAGCTTTGTCGACAACAGTTGGAGAAACCCCCCCCCCCCCGACAACTGATTGGACAATGAAGCAGCAGAAGCGCACTGATGAGGTCATCTCACTGCTCATCCTGTCAGCTTGTTCACCAGTAGTGATGAGCTGAGGTGTAAAATAGTGATCAACCCAACTGGACCAATCAGTTGCACCATGTGCATTTCTTTCCTGAAGCTACACATCACAATGGGGCGGGGAATGCCCCTGCCGCAACTGATTGGGCTAGGAAGAGGCTGTGCCAGTCACAGTTTTTCACAGGCTTAAGCGGAGTTAGGTGAACTGGGATTGCACCAAGCCCAGGCTCATCACTATTCACCGTGAGTTCACCTCCATGTGGCAGAGTCTTATTGGGGGAGACTTATTTATCAAAAGCGGAGCAGACAGAATCAGAAGTTGCCCATGGCAACCAATCAGCTTCCAGCTTTCATTTTCAAAGACTAACTGAACACACTGATGATAGAAGCTAATTGCAACTGTTTCAGATTCTGTCTGACATCCCTTCCGATCGGCAAGGTATACGTACATGGATCCCCTTCTGATCAGAATGTGTGAAAGGGGCCTTAATTTGTGCTTTTTATATCTTCTTAAAATGTAGTTTTTGATTTCTATGTGTACATGTGTGCTAAACAATCGTATGTGAAACTTTATGTTATTTGCTGCACTGTTTTAAATTCTGTCTTTTCAGACATATTAGAAGTCACTAAGATTATGGTCATAATTCTTCTAAATGTTGTCCATCTTTGTTACATATGTGTAGAGAAATGTATTGATGCTAGCAGATGCTACAAATGAACCATGCCTTGTCAAAGTTATCTGAATAGGAATAAGCAGTGGGTGCTGGAATGACCAATGGGTGCTGCCAGATCCCAGAAACTCAATTCAGTATATTTCTGCATAACTGATTGGATATTAAGACCAAAGTCCATAACTATAAAAGTGGGGCAAATAAACTATTCACATAAACAACCCATCCTAAGGCGTTACATTTTAGAGGGGATCTTGACACCTGAAGTGGCGGTACCAATGCAGCTGCAATAGCAATATGTTTCCCCACCAATTTCATATACATATTACAGTTAACATGTAACTATTAAGAGGGCAGACAAAAGAAGACAAACTGTGTAAATGATAGAGGCAATATGTGACAGGAGGTGTGCAGTTTAACACCAACATTTAAGGTGACTAATTTAACACCTTTGCATACTGACATTTCAGCAAATTGTTTAGCAAGCAGCAAAAGTGTCACATCACCTAAGTGGTGCGCCTAAATACAAAAGCTTTTGGTGTCTGCAGGAACTCAAAGGGAGAGCCTTTGTTCTCAGATGTTTTTCATTCCTTTAAATGTTGCAGCTGTTTGATGGAAAGTGAGCAGTCCACGTGTTCCTGGCAGAATCAGAGTCTAGCTGGGTCTGTGCTGCTTGAAAACAGCATGGAACTGAGGCTAGTTTTGAAGCTGGACGTTAATGGGCAAATACAGTGAAAGATTCAAAATCTGCTCCTCTTTGCTATGGTTGATAAGAGCCTCAAGTTGCAATATAAACTATAAAGGCTTTGGGCAGTGTATACATTTTTATATTTATACTTTATTTGTGGTTGTTAACATTTCTACATTTTAAACCATATTGTTTTACTATTCACATAAAATCTTTAGAATATAGAATTTAAAACATGGCACACTGATGCTACAACATTTCTGGGTTTTCTAAAAAGAAAGCAGACATTTTTTTTTGCTTTTAGACTGTCTCTCCCTTATTAATTCTCCATTTTCTACCCCGCATCCTCCACCTTCCCAGACAAAGCAGACAGGGGGCCCATGACACTCCTGTGCTTCTTCTGCTGTGTTTGGGAACTTGAGGTTGAGCTACTCAGCTCTGTATACAGGAGGCTTTTTTTTAGCTCAGCCTGGTAAATATGTAAGAATAAAATCTTCTACCTGCTGACTGCAAATTTAAATATACAACATTAATTAGCAAAAATGTATATTAATTGAAATACATACTTCATCCTTTAACATAATCTCAGTTTTCTTCTTTCAAGTACTGTATTATGTAATAAATCATACCGAAATGTTTCTACATCCAGCAATGTAAGATTTCCTTATCCTAGATATCATTATACTCGTGTATGAAAGTGCTGATCTTGCAACCTAATTTTCCAGTTATAGATCAATTGCTGCATGCACATCAGGGTCAGGGGAGGCAGGTCCTAGAATTATGGAGGAAAAAGCTGTCAGCTTCATGTCTGAAGCAAGAGGCACCGCACGTCACTGATGCAGACATATATATTATTCTGCTCAACCCTTCATTCACACTGTTCCTCCTTCTCCAGCACAACCAAAGGTGGTCATGGTGGAGCTACACTACAAACCAGACATGGAGTGTGCCCTGAAGCAACATTTCATGAGTAGCTCTAAGTAAAGCTGGCCATACATGTAAAGATTTTTCTCTCAGCCCGTTGGCATTAATCACTTGATCCCCCCATCCACACTAAACAGCTAATCTACCCTGCTGGCAAGGGTTGGCAGCTGATTGGCTGCAGTCAGTCACTGTTCCGCCAAATGTTTCCACCCAGCTCCTTCAATTTTTCAAGTTTGTCAAGGCAGGTGGGTTTGGCTAAAACCAAAATGTAGCAGTTAGACTGCTGTCTGTTCAATCAAGAAATTCGCCATCTCTATTTGTTCTGGTGTCTGCTGTCAGAGTTACTGACCCAGAACAAGCATGCAGCAAGTAAAGCCACAACAACTGCATACATGCTCTATCAGTGACTCAGAATAGAAGCCAGAGGATCAGTATCACAGCCATGCATCTAGTATTTTCAGGGGGATAGGTCAGAAATGGCAGCCCACATTTTTCTCATGACAGGTTTCCTTTAAAGCTGTTTTCATCAATTCTGTGGGGGTTTCTAAATAAATAAGTGTATTATATATTGTTATATGATACATGAACTAGATTCTGAATCGCATAATGAATACCAGCAACATATAACACATTGCTTTCATGTAAGGGGGGCAAATCTGTTTCAAATAAGTAGACATCATGTTAGAATTCTTTGTTTTCTCTCTACGTTTGGTCCTACATAGACTTAATTTAAAGCATTCTTACACTATGCCACATAGAGACTGTGTGAAATGGGCTGGCTCGTGTTGAAAGATACTGAATAGAAGACCCCCCCTCAGATGAAGTAAATAGCATTTGTGGCTTGGCAAGCTAAGAGAACAAAATTCCTTTATTACTTATATTTATAATCTGAGAAATATTTTGCTTTCTAAAAAGCAAACACTGTATTTTTTAAGTGTAGGTCCACTCAAAGCTGATAATGTTTTAGATTGAAGAGCTTGAGCTGAATCACCCACTGGTTTGTTATGTGTCTACATGTTTCATGGCTTCCCTAGTACATTCCATAATGAAAGAAATCCAACAGGGAGAGTGAGACCCCCTTGTAATGGCTGCAGTGGATGGACAGGATTAGAGCCTCACAATTGTACAGATTCAGAAATCAAAAGATCTTGCTGCACTCCTTACCGAAGTATCAAAAAGACCCGTACGGACGGGTGGGTGCTTGTAGTGGCCACGGATGGCACAGTGAAAAGATCAGATAGAAAATAACGTCACCAGCACTCCAGAGAATAATCAAGCAATAGTCCATTTATTGGCACACTGCCATTCAAATGCAATGGTAATGTGCCAATAAATGGACTATTGCTTGATTATCCTCTGGAGTGCTGGTGACGTTATTTTCTATCACAATTGTACAGTTCCAAGTCCCCAAGAGATGTTTATCTGCGGGTGGATGATTTGACATGCCAGCATCTACCCACAGCTGAAATATCAATTTTGGATGAACTGAACCTTTAGGCTGGGTTCACACCTAGGCGACAGCGTTTTTTCACGTCTCTAAGCGCGTTTTTGATGCACGTTAATCAGCATCAATCAAGCTGCGCATTTTTGTGAGCAGATTGTAGCTCATTGATGTTAATGATCAAATACTCGTAAAACACCCGCAAAAACACAGCAACCATGTGTTTTCAATCATTTCCTATTGAGTCTATGGGGCCAAAACAAGCTGTAATATGCCAAAAATTAGCTCCTGTACTTTTTCCAGCGACAGGCATTTTGCTTATTGCGACAAAACGCACAGATGTGAACATGGTCTTAGAAATCAATGGGATTTTGAGGGGGGCTTATTCTTTAAGCGTTTTTTAGGGCAGAACATGCGCTACAAAATGCTCGGTGTGAACCAGGCCTTAAGATGTTTACTATTAACCTGAACACGCTCATTCTAATGTTTGCTCTGATCACACAGAATACTATAAAAATAACCGAAGGGTTGTAGCAATTTGTCGGCTCTGATGTTTTGTTTAAGAACCATTAATCTCAATAAGGCTATTTGTAACCTTTGCAGATATATTTGTTAACATTTCAGGAATGTAGCTGAAATGTAGATAGCTGAGCTAAAATTGTGCTCAGGGTAGAAAAATGTGGCCTTGTACATATGATACATTTATTCCCTTTTGTGGGTCAGCAGGCATTCATATGTAATACAGGTCTGAA